GATGTGCAAATGGTAAATAATAATAATAATGATAATAATAAAATAATAATAATAATAATTATTATTATTATACAAATTAATTTTTTGTAGGTAGAGCAAAGCAAGCTAGTTGGAGCTCAGTATTGTAAAGACTTTGTACATTTAAAGTAATTGTATGCATACGGGTGTACATAAGACTGTATGGTGTTTTAGGTGGAGGAATGGTAATGTGGTTCATGTCCATTTAGATGAGAGGACCTATCAAAACTATTACAGTAAAGTGATGTACTATGTAAAGAAATATGAAGAAAGGTAGTGGAGCATTCTTGTATACTGTAAAGTGTTATAGTAATTGTTATTTTTTTGTATAGGAGCGATTGGTTGAAGAAAGACAGCAGGGAGCTATTTGGAACTGTCCTTGAAAATAAAGTAACTTTTAATGAATTAATAATAGGAGTAATAGACTCCCTCCAGCACTTAATGTCTTGTGTTATAGCATTTTTTATTTATTTATTAATTAATTAATTTTTATCTTACTCACTTTTTATGTCTCCTTCTCTCCTCAGATTGTTGTAGTTGTTGATACTTCTAGTTCTCTTGAAGGTCGTTTCAGTCTCATTAAAAGAAAACTCCGCCAGCTGCTACGAGAGCAGATCCTACACAAAACATCTTTCAATCTTATCCAGTTCAGCACGGATGTCATCAAGTGGAGGGACCACCTTGTCCCGACCACACCCCAAAATATATCGGCAGCACGAGAGTGGATAGATGGGATGGGCGTGTCAGGTAGTACTAATACCCTGGAGGCTCTACAGGAAGCACTGAGTATCAGTGGAGCTGAGGCTGTTTATTTCCTCACTGATGGAAGGTATTGGATTTGTATTAAAAATACATGCACAGGAGAAATGTGTTATCCACATTCTCTGTTGTGGTCAGTATTAAGTAGGTGCATCTATTTAATTTCTGACCACAACAGAGTATTTGCATGACACATTTCTGCTTGCCTATCATGCAAGTTTAAGGAAAATCGCTGCACATGTATAATAATTATCCACTCTTTGGTATAGATTGTTTTAGTTATTTTATGTGTGGTTAGTTGACAGTTTATATAGGTACAGGAAGTGTTAACCACAATGGCATCCGACCCACGAGAGACTTTTACAATTATCTGAGTATAAAACCTCATGAAATGTCTTCATTGCTACTTCTTCTAGTGAGATGTGTATTATCTTTACAAAAAAATTTTTGGAAGGGTCTTTACAGACCCTACACTATTTTAACTTTTTTTTGGCTTAGCCATGTCCATAGTCATACCTGTCAAACTTTAAGCCCAACATACACTGAGCAACTTTGTTGCCAGTGCCTTTGATGTGGTGAGGCAACTTGTTGCCAGAAGTTGAGAGTCTCTCTACTTTCTGCAACATGTTGCCCAGTGTTGCTCAAGCACATCAAAGGTCTGACCACAAGTTACGAAC